TCCCAATTTGGGAATTAAGTTCTATCCATTACACTTCCTGTTTGTTAGATTATTTGGACTTTGCCAGAAAACCACACAGACATCCAGGTACAGAGAACAAAGAAAAGTTTATTGCTGGGAAAGGGGCCCGCAAGACCTTCTCACAAGGCAGAAGCTAGAAGAAGCGCTGACTATTGTCTGGGGTGACCTATATAACCTAAGAGGTTTAGGAGGGGTTAGGGGGTGGAGCCCCTGATGTGGACATGAGCGCTAGGGGCTTCATCATGGCACACTAGGATTTATGGCTGCTGTCCAAATAGTAGATAAGGTGGCCTGCAGCTGCCCAGACCTGAAGGTCACTCTAAGGGGCTCTTGTTGCCTTATATGGTGGTAGCTGCCTCAGAGAAGTGCCATCCCAAGGTAACGGGGTTGGAGGCTGATTATTTACTACCTTTACTAGATGGGCCTAGTGTTGCCTAGGAAGGGAATATGTTAAGCTGTGGAAAGAAGGAACATACTAAGCTATGGGAAGGGAGCTCATTGGGCTAACACTGTTTCTGTATGAAACAGTGAGCAGCTAGGGGAGTTTTGTAGGCTAAATTTATAAATGTGAAACTAATGAGTTGATTGAGATGAGCTGATTAGCTTTTAATAATATAGCCAGGCTGAACTCCAATACAATAGTCCTCTATCCCCACTAATGGTGGGCAGAGGTGTGTATCTGCCCCTTTTTGCCATCCATAGCAAGCACCACCTAAAACTTTTTGTCTTGACTTCATTATTTCAATTGTTAATTATTAAGGAAGCTAAACAATTATTTTTTGGTAAATAAAGTTTCTATTTTGTAACTGTTTTAAAATTTCCAAATATCCTTTACTAGCTTCTCCCAAAGCAATAACCCACAATGCTTTGCCAAAACTAAAAACTTACGTTGGTAGATTACTATGAACTCAATTCTAGGTTTTATAACTTTACTATCAATGTTTTTAAGTTTCTTCCTCTCTCCTTTCCTCCTTCCTTTCTTTCTTCAGTTTGAACTCAGGGTCTTGGGCTTTGAATGAGCTTTTTCTCTCAAGGCAAGTGCTCTTCCACTTGAGCCACAGCTCTACTTCCAACTTTTTGTCTCATGTATTTTCTTCCCAGGCTGGTTTCAAACTGGGGCCCTCAGATCTCATTCTCCTGAATAGCTGGGATTATAGGCATGAACCACCAGCACCCAGATAAATGGTATTTTCAAAGATAGTCACAGCAATGTATTTTACTACCCAACTCTTTTGTCTGTGGTTCTATCAAGACTCCATCAAGCCATGGTCATGTTCTAATGGTAAAGAGAATAAACTGATCTCTCGCTCTCTCTTTCTCCCCACCCCACCATACTGGGGCTTGAACTCAAGGTCTCAAGATTGTAGGACAGGCATTCTACTACTTGAGCTACACCTCTTTTTAAGGGCACTAATGTCATCATAGGGGTTGTACTCTCATGACCGTCAAAAAGGCCCACTTTCAAATACCATTGGGAGTTAGGGCTTCAAGATAGCTTTCAGAAACTTGAAATCAATTTGTAGAATGGTGTACCTGTCCTTTCTGTTTCCTAGTTGTTCTCCTGTTACATGTACTGCTCACGTCAGTGCTGGCCACACAGGTTAATGTGGCCTTCCATTGCCCAGCTGAGTATGCTTCTCCCCTTTCTCTTTTAAATTGAACTTTATCAGATGATCCTGGATCAGGAGCCCATTGTGCTTCAAGAACTAGCCACAGGGCTGATGCAATTCCCAGGAAATGTAATTTCTGATTCCTCAGGTCAAGGCCACAAGTCTAGCTTTGAGTATAGTGATGAGTTCATTTAAGTCAGATGACATAAGTGGAACAGAGGAAAGGCACTTCTCTTCAAACAAACAAACCTCTTGGTTGGTGTTATTTCAAGAAGGCAGTGTGAAGCCAGAGCAGGTACCTTGCTCACTGTTCTTTCCTTCTTACAACCTTTTCAGATGAAACTGCTCTCCTCTGCACCTACCTTCCCCAATCTTACCCTACCACATTTCTTGTAAAACACCCGAGTTTATTTCTTACTATCTAATGTGTTGGAAATGTCTCAGGATTTTAAGGTGTCATGTAGAAATAAAGACACCAACTTGACAGGATTGGTAAAGCAAGACTTCACTTCTATAGAAGGGCATACCAGATAGGAAGCTAAGTAAGCAAGTGGGCAGCCCACTCAGGTTATCTCTGAGTTACTGCCCCTTGTTTTGATTGGTCAGCACTTAAGTTCACGTTATTGTGATTGGCTAGTTTGAAAGTGGTTAAATGCTTATCTGAGCAACCAACTAAATTTGTGGAACCTGGCCTAAGCTGGAACTTGTCATTAAAGCAGTTCTTCCTCAGCTGGCACTCTACCACTTGAGTCATGCCTCCAGCCTCTAGAAAAACAATTCATATTAACAAAATGTGGCTTAATTAAGTTTTCTTGTAAGGTGGTAGCTACACTTAAAATGGTGATGCTTACCTCTAGTAACCAATTTTACAGAAAAGATTCTAACTCTACAAGTGGTGTATGTATCAAGGTGAGGAGGATTTATGTGAGCACTGTCTGTAAGTGAATTTAAAATCAATCAGAAAATCACAATGCAATCCTTTTACAATCATCAGATAGTGGTAATTCTAAGTAGTGTCAGTGATAATACACTCCACCTCCCCCACCAAAAAGTCAATTTGCAAGTTCCCAGTTTCAAGGTTTCCTCAAGGAAATATTGTATTTTTTTTTTTTTTTGTCTGCTGTGGGGCCTGAACTCTTGGGCTTGGGCGCTGTCCCTCAGCTCTTTAGTTCAAGGTTAGCACTCTACCACTTGAGCCACACCACTTCTGGCTTTTTCTGCTTATGCGGTGCTGAGGAATTGAACCCAGGGCCTCAGGCATGCAAAGCAAGTGCTCTACCACTGAGCCACCTTCCCAGCCTGGAAATATTGTAATTTTTTACTGTAGTGTTGATTCTGACCACACACAACTCTCAGGAATCTCACACTTTCTTAGGGAGCTGATAAACACAATCTCAGCTATATTTAGGATCACTTGGCCTTATAGGGTGTGGGAAGGCCTGGATTTTGTGATCTCTAAGATCATCTAATCAGTGTGTACCTGCCTTGTCTCTCTCTCTCTCTCTCTCTCTCTCACACACACACACACACACACACATCTACTTACAGGGGTGGCTATTTCTATTTTTCAACCATTCCTGGACAGATCTTCAACACCCTCCCAATACCTCCCCTGTGGGTCTAAGTGTTGATGGGGAAAAAGATGCTTAAAGCTGTCAGTTCACTCTGCTGATTCACTGGCCTCAATTCACTATTCCCAAAGCCTGGCCAGGTGCCCAGTGGTACTCCAAGTTAGTCTTTCTCAAAGTTTGATCCTGTTCCTTTATGAACCATATACCTACAATAGACTAAGTTTTGTTGATACACATTAACTAAAGCAATATTCAGTACTGCAGCAATATTCAGCGAACGCAGGAGCAAATGTCAGAGTGATATCTCATTAAGCCAGAGCTTTGAAGAGTTGCAATGAAAAACTCTGTTTTCTTTTTCTTTTTTTGGTCGGTCGTGGGGCTTAAACTCTGGGCTTGGGCCCTGTCCCTACGCTCTTCAGCTCAAGGCGAGCGTTCTACCGCTTGAGCCACAGCGCTACTTCTGGGTTTCTAGTGGTTTATTGGAGATAAGAGTCTCACGGAATTTCCTGCTCGGGCTGGCTTTGAACCGTGATCCTCAGACCTCAGCCTCCTGAGTAGCTAGGATTACATGCATGAGCCACCGGCTCCCGGCTTTTCTTTTTCTTGTTATAGCTATTAAAATATACGTGAAATTGGGCCCTAGAGGCTCATGCCTGGATTCCTAGCTACTCAAGAGGGCTGAGACTTGAGGTTCCAAATCACTCTGAGAAGAAAAGTCCATGAGACTCATATTCAGTTAAGCAGTAAAAAATAACGGAAAAAGCAAAAGGCACAACTGGGAGGTATGACTCAAGGGCCAGCCTTGGTCAAAAAGACTATGGGAGAGCACCCAGGCCTTAGCTTAGGTTCAAGCCCCAGTACCAGCACAGACACTGCTAAGTGTTTATTTTCCAGATTGTGGGGCTTAAACTCAGGGGCTGGGCGATGTCCTTGAGTTTTTTTTTCTCAAGCTTAGCGCTCTGCCACAGTTCCACTTCCGTCTTTTCTGTGGCTTAATTGGAGATAAGAGTCTCAGTACTTTCCTGAGTAGCTAGGATTAACAGATGTGTCATCAACGCCAGGCTTAGGTGCTTATTTTTAAATGGAAAATGTTTTCAAATAGTTCGCTTTAACTAAGAATATACTACTGGAAGCCATAACCTACATCAGCAAAAGCCTTTGCGCTCCTTAGCTTTTAAGAGCAATAAAGTGGTCCGGAATAAAGGGTTCCGGAAAGCTGATCCCATGCATTCTTCCTTCCCGAACCAGTTAGGTAAATGGAGGCCCCTGAGTCTCCGGCTCACCGACGTGCGAGTCTCGCTTCCCGTCTGAATCACTAGAGGGTCCCCCGGCCAAAGCATCCCGACAGGAACGCTCGCCTCGCCCGCGGGTCCCGTTTCCCCGCGCGGAGAGTCTACACTCTGTTTATTTCCTTGGACCTGGCGTGTCTCTGCTTCATGAGCATGCAAAGAGTCAACTTGTACCCTAGCATCTCGCTGCGATCGCCCGGCTGGGCAGCCCGGGACCCAAGATTGTCGGTCGTCGATACCGCACACCTCCCACCAGCGCCGGGCGCCGAGCAGCCGCCGGGTCCTCCCGTCGGCCTCACATCCGGCGCCAAGTCCGGAAACCTCCCTTCCGATTCCCGGGACCGCGCACCGGAAGTGAGTCACTCTGCCAGCACCTAAGATGACCTCCCGCCCATCTACCGCCACGGTCAATGGAGGTGAAGTGGGTGGGAACCCGGAAGTTGCCCGGCTCGGCCATGGCAGCCCCTGGGGGCGTGGCTTCCGGCGGCCCGCGCCTACCAGTCGCCCAGGCGGAGTAGAGCGCAGTGGGCGGCTGACAGGCGCTGCTTTCCAGGTCTCGGCGGCTGCACCCCGGCGAGGCGGGCGGCCCCCAGCTCGCATCCCCGCGTCCTGGCCAGTGAGGCTCCAGGGCTGCGCCGGGGCATGGAAGAGGGGAAGATGGATGAGAATGAATGGAGGTATCACGGCGAAGGCAACAAGAGCCTGGTGGTGGCTCACGCGCAGGTGAGCGGCTGTCGGGCGGTGTGGTTCCGGGCCTCACCCGACTTGCCGGGTCCGTGGGTTCTCCTCCCACCCCGGCCCCCAGCACCTTCTTAGCCTAGGTCGGCCTCACTCCAGTAACATTCCCCGTTAATTCCCCACTATCCCTTAGTAACCATCTCTCTTCCTCTGCGTGCCGCCCCCCCTGTGCTCGGTCCACTGTCCCGTCTTTCACTTAGTGCCCTATTTTCCCATTGGTCCTCCGTCCCTCCTGGAGCCCTCCTCACTCTTCGGTCCTCTATCCCCTCCCCCCGTGCTCTCCTACATCCCAGGGTCGGTTCTGATCTCCCCCTTCCTCGCCCCGTCGGTGCCACGCGATCTCTTGTCGTACAGCCGCCTCCCCGGTGCTCGCCTGTCAGGCCGCGGTGGACTGAAAGGACCAGGGTCCAGGCAGCACTGGGGGAAGTGCTGGAGATGCTGTCGCTCCGACCACGGAACTGCTGTTCTCTCGGCTTCTGTTGTTAATAATAACGGGGCACTGCCCACAGCCTCGCCGCCGGAATCTTTGCAAAATATAGGGTTTCCCCTTTTTAATTTAATGGGATAAGACTTTGAGAAACTTCAATGACTCCCACGGAGGTGAACCCAGGAAGAGGAAGGAGCATGTGGATTTGTGTGCAGCCCTAGATTTCTTTTGAGGTCTTGCAGTCTGATACAACCTCTCAGGAATGTGGTGGGCTGGGGGAGTAGGAGGGAAGGACTGTCACAGAGGGAGTGGTTAGATTGAGTTAGAAGCAAAGGGAGCTGGGATGATTCCTGGTTCTACCACGGATTAGTGGAGGCTCAATTCAGTGACTGCATTTGGAAAATGGAGTGAGGATTAGAATGCACTTGGTAGAATTGCCTAAAATATCAGTGGGTAAGTTATGTTTGGCAAGTGATAACTATCATCCCCTTGAACTGGTGATTCTTGTAGAATTAGAGATGAAAGCCCTGCCCCTTTCCAACAGCTCTTCAGGGATGCACAGGTAATGTAGTTGTTAAGCTATTGTGTAAACTGGCCCATAGGTTCTACCTTTGTGCTTTAGTAACCATTAAGTACAGGCAGGGAACTAAAGAAATCAATCAGGCTCCACTTAAGATTTTTGGGTGAATTTATAATGAACAAGGCTAATGTAAGGCTTTTATTAGGAGCTAATGAAACTTCCAGATTGGAGCAAAAAGACATTTAGTGTTGAAAGAGCAGAGGCTTTGACAGACTAGCACTTGATTGTTCTCACCCTCTCTACATTTCCAGTAGTCACATAATTTACTCCCTTCCCTGAGCAGGCCTCTTCAGGGCAGCCTAGCCCCTCCCAGGACGGCTGCTCACCATAGTTCCAATCATTGTAGTTGTGTGTGTATATATATATATATATATATATATATATATGTATTTATTTATTTATTTATTTATTTATGCCAGTCATGGGGCCTGGGCTCTGGGCCTGGGCGCTGTACCTCAGCTCTTCAGCTCAAGGCTAGCACTCTACCACTTGAGCCACAGCTCCACTTCTGGCTTTTTCTGCTTATGTGGTGCTGAGGAATTGAACCCAGGGCCTCATGCATGCAAGGCAAGCACTCTACCACTGAGCCACCTTCCCAGCCCAATGTTTCTTTTATTTTTACAGTTTAAAACTTTGAGCCATCAGGCTGTCCTGGACCCATGCTGCTATTATTATTACTCCTACTATTAGTATTACTGCTACTTTGCTGGGGCTTAAACCCAGGGCTTCAAGCACACTAGGTAAGTGCTCTAGTACTGAACTCTACTCCCTAGCCCTTATTACTTGTTTTGAATTAAATTTGCTCTTTTTTGGCCGGGTCTTGGTGGTTCACACCTGTAATTCTAGCTAAGATTTGGGGAACTGAAGTTTGAAGTCAGCCCTGTTGCTATTCCTGAGAATTTTTATTAACAATTAAACAGCAAAAACCCAGAAGTGAAGATGGGTAGGGCATCAGCCTTGAAGGAGAAAGTGAAGCATGAGGCACAAGGCCCTGAGTTCATGCCCCAGCATCAGCACCAAAACCAACAAAAATGCATTCCCGCTTGGTGGTGGTTTTAGTTCACCATTTGAAATGGAAGTTTATCACTGCAAAGTCTCATAAAGAATTGTTTCACACCTGTAGCTGATAATAGATAAATTGTATTGTGCTGAGTGTTGAACAGTTGGAAGCCTTTGCAATTGCGTGGGCCTTGAGTGTGTATGCCTACTGGCATGTTTTCTCAGGTTGTATACCAAGGAGGATAGAGGAAGCCCTAGGAAGGCAGTTTTTCAGGGGCAATTGTGTCCAAGGAGAGAAGATACATATGGGAATGGGGTAGAGAGTAGTTGAGTGAGACTTGGAGGACTCCCTGCTTCTTGGACACTGGGTATGTTCATGGCTCTTCTACTTCTTCTTCTTTTTTTTTTTTTTTTTGGGTCGTTCGTGAGGCTTGAATTCTGGGCTTGAGTGCTGTCCCTCAGCATTTCAGCTCAAGGCTAGCGCTCTACCACTTGAGCTACAGCGCCACTTCCAGTTTTCTGGTGGTTTATTGGAGATAAGAGGTTCACTTACTTTCCTGCCTGCGCTGGCTTTGAACCACGATCCTTAGATCTCAGCCTCCTGAGTAGCTAGGATTACAGGTGTGAGCCACCGGCACCTGGCTTTCTTCTACTTATGGAGTCAAGTGTGGAAGCAGGTATACCCCACTTCTCAGCTTCCCAGACCTTCTAGTCCTTTGCCAAGTCTTATCACATAGGAAGATGCTAATTTTTTCTGTGAGATCACAGTCACTCTCAGAGTTGAGAAGCCCTTAGAAAGGGCCCCTGTATGTCCTCCCTTCTAAGCAGCACCTGATACACAAGCACACTGCCATCCTACAGGGGGCAAGGGGCTAGGTGGGGGCATCTGGATTGGCCACTGGAGCATGGTGATGCCCTTGCCATGGGTAAACTGGGACTGAGAGAAAGAAAGAGTTGGGACTTGGGGATGCAGATGTTGCCTGTGAGCTCCAGGAGGGGACTGGGGTGTGCTGGGATGAGCAGAAAGATAAATAGCAGACCAGCTCACAGAGAGGCATTTTAGCAGTGTCCCTGGCAGGTTGTAGTCAGCTTTCCACAACCCCTATTCTTAGAGGCAGCCCCAGATGGTTTCAGTGTTAACCATTGGGCTAAGTTCTCTCTTAGTTTGAGATAGCTATGTAGTGTGTTCATTTCCCAGACATAATACCTCAGGTTCCTTGCCTATCTGATACAGAGTCTCTGATAAGCTTGATAGACTACTGTACTGCCTCTTATGGCTTTCTGGAGTCCAAGGCTCCCACGAGAGATGTCTGAGGGCGTAGCCCTCACTTTAGCGCCACATCATAGGTTCTTGGAACCTATTGCCTCCTTTTATGCCACTGTAGCTGCCTTCTTTCCCAGGTGTCGGCACTTGTCTCCACCTCTGCCTGTTGCGTTTGGCTCTTGAGTTGGCTTGTGAAAGTTTGTTGTTCAATCTCAGGTATCCAGGACACTGAACCCCATAGGTTACATTGTCCTCGGGGTAGAACATTAAAGCTACCATTTTTTTTTCTTCTTAAAATTAATCATTAAAAGAGTTTACTTTATCTAGGTGCCAGTAGCTTATGCCTGTAATGTTAGCTACTCAGGAGACTTGAGATCTCAGGATCACAGTTCAAAGCCAGTGTAGGCAAGATGAAAGTCTATGAGACTGTTTTCTCCAATTTACTACTTCCCACCCTCCCAAAACAAAAATAAAAACAAAAAAACTCAACTGGAAGTGGAGCAGTGGCTCAAGTGGTAGAGCATTAGCCTTAAGCAAAAATGCCCAGGGACAGTGCTCAGGCTATGAGTTGAAGCCCCAGGGGACCCTCCTCCCCCAATCAATCAATCAGTCTATCAATCAATCAATCTCTCTCTCTCTCTCTCTTTCTCTCTCACATAAAGAGCTTGCTTCAGTTACACAGAGGGGACTTCATTGATAACATTCTAACACATGTTTACGATACATTCTAATCACTCTTACCTCCATCACTCTCTCTTCCACTAATTCAGATTTCCTTGTTCTGTTTTTATAGTTGTAAACAATATATTTGACCATGTTTTCCTTTCTTAAAAAAACAAGGTATATATAAAACTAAACATAGACCTTCCCTATGACCCAGTCATACCACTCCTGGGCATCTACCCTGAACATCATGAGCCAGAATATGATAAAGACACCTGCATATCCACATTCATTTCTGTACAATTCACAATAAAAGATAAGAAAACAGTCTAGATACCCCACAATAGATGAGTGGATCCCAAAAATGTGGTAGGTACCTATACACAATGGAATTTTACACAGCCATTAGAATAAAATAATGTCATTTGCAGGGAAGTGGAGGAACTAGAACAAATCATGTTAAGTGAGGTAAGCTAAGCTCAGAGAGACAAACGGTGCATGTTCTCTCTCATATGCAGAAATTAGATCTAAACTGCATTGGGATATGACAAATTATACAGGATTCTAGATACTCACACACAGTGAGACCAAAAGAGGATATTCTTAGGGGAGAAACACAAGGGCACAACGGCTAAGTGCCTCTTCATATTTATATAAAATAATGTACACACTGAAATAAACACCAAGATATGGAAACAAGAGACTTTTTTTAAAGTTTTTAGTTTTTGATGATTCTGTCTTTACATTATGGTGTATTCATGTGTATATCTTCGGGGGAGGTTACGGGGGTAGGGTACAGAACTCAGGGGAAAAAAAGTGAAAAAGTGCAGCAATGGAAGTCACTTGGACATTGATGAAAGTAAACTATTGAAACGCATGGGTGGAGACAGGAGGGAGGGACTGGGAAAGAATGAGGGAACAGAAGACACTTGAGGAAAGGAAATGCACTCATTACCTGACTCATGTAATTGTAATTTCTCTGTATATCACCTCTATAATAACAAAGATTAATAATAATAAAGATTAGTGTATAATATACAGAGGAGTTTCATTGTGATATTTCCATACTTAATGTGTAAATGTTTTTCTTTATTGATAGAGATGACATGAAATTCTTTACCATTTAATTGACCTGCAAACAAAGAATGTTTACTAAAAGCATGAGGAGAACTGCTCATTTCCTCTTGTTCTGTTTGAGATTCTAAGGAGAGCTCAGATCCTTTCTGCAAATTGTGTGGGTGCCTGGGGTGTTGTTCTGGGACTTGTGGGTGTGAAGTTTTCCAGCTGCCTGAGGTGAACAGGCTTCCTCTGCCATGTACCCTGTAAATGTGCTTTGTCGCCACAGGCCCCAAAGCAACAGGGCCAAGCAAGTCTAGCACAGATACCTATGAACCTGAACCAAAATAAACCTTTCTCTTTTTAAGTTGATTTTCTCAGGTATTTTGTTACAATAATTGAAAGCTAACATTCCCTCAGGCTTCATATCAGCAGGTGTCCCTTTTAATGTATTGGTTTTTTGTGGCCTTTTACTTTTATTTAATATGAATATTTCGTCCTTTATCTGCCCTTCTACTAGTAAAGACTAGTAGAAGGAAGAAAGTAAAACTCCCCCAACACTTCCCCACTTAGAAAATAAGTTCTGTTAATACTTTGGTGCCCTTCCTTCCAATCTTAATGACTTGTTGCCTTGTTAGGTAGATAGAAATGCTGTTTATCTATTTCTATTTTGGACTTTCCACCTTAGGGTCCCTCTTGGACTCATGTATCTTTTGGCTAATGAGAGTTGGCTACTGAGAGTTGATTTTTCACCTGCTTTATACTGTCAGCATGAGTTTGCCAGGCAATTTCCTTGATGGGCTTTTGTCTGGCATTAGCCAATTACCACACCCCTCTAGCCGGCTCAGCCCAGTTATTCCTCTGATAGAGGCAGTTGGTACTGACTGGTTGGCACAGGTCATATGGGACAGGCAAACCTGAGAGAATTCTGAGTGCTGATATTTAGATTGACCTTTAAAGCTCACCCTGCAGTTGTGGGAGTGGTAATTGGGTTTCTGGTGACAGTTTTTGGATGATAAAGGAGTGGGTGGAGGAAGCATTTCTCTTGATGTGTACACATTGCTACATTTAGATTTGCTCAGCTAGTTTTAGCTCTTTAATGGGAAGGGAAAGGAGACTTCCTGTGGGTAATACAGAAGCTGAGCCACTGTACAAAGATGTGGTGGTGGCTGAGGACCCACTTGAGGGTGGTCCAAGAAGGCCTCGCAAGGCCTTTGTCTATACTCTCTGTTGGGAACCACCTCTCTAGCCAGTACTCTCAACTCCCGAACTGGGACCTCAGCAGTCACTAGGAGCCTGACAACTAGAAAGGTGAGGACATTAGTCTAGGATTTGGACACACCTCTCAGCTCTGTTCCATATGACCCATATGACCTTGACCTTTGTTGTGTGCCATGGACCTCAGCTACCAGTCTAGGGTTCATTTTAGGAAGTGTAGCTGTCCAGCAATGTACCAAGCACTTGGCACTGACTGGAAGTGGGACCTCAATAAGTAGGGGAAGCAAGGCCAGTAGTGGCATACTCAGTCCATCCCATGGAGTTCCAGCGCTTGGGGAGCTGAGGCAGAAGGTTTACTGTACTAAGGAGTTTGAGGTTAGCATGAAAACATAGGGAAACCCTGTCTCTTAAAAATAACAAAGTAGGGGCTGGGAAGGTGGCTCAGTGGTAGAATACTTGCCTTGCATTCCTGAGGCCCTGGGTTCGATTCCTCAGCACCACATAAGCAAAAAGAAAAAAGCTGGAAGTGGTGCTGTGGCTCAAGTGGTAGAGCTTTAGCCTTGAGCTGAACAGCTGAGGGACAGCGCCCAGGCCCAGAGTTCAGGTCCCATGGCAGGACCCCCCCCAAAAAAATAAAAATAAAAATAAAAATAACAAAGTAAAGCCAGGTGCCAGTGGCTCATGCCTGTAATCCTAGCTACTCAGGAGGCTGAGATCTGAAGGTCATGGTTCAAGGCCAGCTCAGGCAGGAAAGTCCGTGAGACTCTTACCTCTAAAAAAACCCACTAGAAAACTGGAAGTGGTGTTGTAGCTTAAGCGGTAGAGTGCTCGCTTTGAGCTGAAGAGCACAGGAACAGCGCCCAAGCCCAGAGTTCAAGCCCCATGACTGACAAAAAAACAAAAAACAAAAAAACTCCCCCAAAACCAAGGTAAAACTAAATAAATGAACCAATGGCTAGAATGGGACTAGGAAGTCCCAACCAAGACCACTGGGTTTTAGGAGCAGTAGCTGCATTGTTAAGGGGTGCTTTTTCTCTCTATAGAGCTTTTATTGCTCAGGCATTTTTTGTTTTAGAATGTCTTCCCTTTACCTCCTCTCTCCTTTTTTCTTTTTTAAAATGAATTTTCCTGTATTTTTTTTTTTTTTTTTTGGTCCAGTCGTGGGGCCTGAACTCTGGGCTTGGGCGCTGTCCCTCAGCTCTTCAGCTCAAGGCTAGCGCTCTACCACTTGAGCCACAGCGCCACTTCTGGCTTTTTTTCTTTTTGCTTATGTGGTGCTGAGGAATCGAACCCAGGGCCTCAGGAATGCAAGGCAAGCGCTCTACCACTGAGCCACCTTCCCAGCCCATAAATTTTCCTGGTTTTTTGAGGTAAGGTCTCTGTGTAGCCCAGGCTACTCTTGAACTTGTGATCCTCCTGCCTCAGTGTAGTAAAAAGACCACTTCCAGCAAGAATACTTTCTAAGCCTTCTTCATTGTGACCTACTGTCAGTCCTACGTGGCTCGAGTGCTCCCCAGAGTTCCTGCCTCTCACCTTTGTACATGTTGTTAGAGTATCTCTCACATACATTCTTCTTCTTTCTATAAAATATGCATTCTTTTTTTTTGGTCGGTTGTGGGGCGTGGACTCTGGGCCTGGGCTCTGTCCCTCAGCTCTTCAGCTCAAGGCTAGTGCTCTACCTCTTGAGCCACAGCACCACTTCCGGTTTTCTGGTGGTTTATTGGGGATTAAAAATCTCACGGACTCCTGCCTAGGCTGGCTTTGAACTGCGATCCTCAGACCTCAGCTTCTAGCTAGGATTATAGGCGTGAGCCACCAGCTCCCAGCTAAAATATGCCTTCCTATTGTGTATAATATGAAAACATTAATACATTGGAATAATTAAACTGAAAAATTGTTATTCTTTGGCTTGTAGATGCTATTAAACTCATCCTGAACGTCCTTTCAGACTGCTTCATGCAGTTTATACATATATTTCATTTCATAATTTTAGTTATTTTTATTTGTAAGTATTATATATTTAGGCAAGGTCTTGTTGCTGTGTATCTCACGCTGGCCTTAAACTTGTAATACGCCTGCTTCAGCATCCCTGGTGCTAGGATGACAGGTGTATACCACCATACTTGGCTAAGAATTACTTTAAAAATGTAAAATTGAAGTGTAAGTATACCTATAGAAAAGTGCTCAGTAGTTTGTGTTTAATTTCATTTTCACAAAGTAATTGGGCCTGACCAGTCATTTCTAGGACCTTCCTTAGGAGTTGTAAGAACTTGTTTACTTACATACAGTTGCTAATGTTTTTTTAATACATTTTTTTATTGTAAAAATAATGTACAGAGGGGTTACAGTTACACGAGTAAGGTAATGAGTACATTTCCTATCAAGCATTGCTACCCCCTCCTACCATCCCTTCCTTCCCCACCTCCCCAACTCCTCCCTCCCTCCTCCAAACAAGTTGTAAAGTTCGTTTTCAACATGGTGTTTTGTAGATCTCATTGTTACAATGGGTCAACCTGTATCCCTATTTAAGCATTTTGTTATTTCCCTTCCCCTCCCCAAATTAGAAAAGTGTATATACATAAGATGCAGGACACCAACATCAAATACAGTGAAAACAGGGGTTATACCGTGGGGGAAGACATACCAAAGAAACAAAAAAAATCACATAGTATATGATAAGTACGTTAAAAATAATAGCAAGAAAGAAAAAAACCACTTGTGTCCCTGTCTTGGGGTTCATTTCACTTAACATCATCTTAGTGGTCAAATGTACAGTTGCTAATGTTGTTTGAGCTTCCTTAATTCTCTTTCATAAGATAAATATCTAGGAGTGGTAGCTAGGTCAAAGACCACAGCTTGTCCTGGCTGCCCTGTGCCACGCTCTCTCGAAGTGGCTCCACCCTTGTCTCCCCTGGGAGAGCTCCCGTAATGGCTGGGCCCCTTCTGCCCAGCTGTTGAACCACATGTCTGGGTGTTAGCCAGTACTAATCAGACTTTTCTTTTATTTTCCAACAGCGCTGTGTGGTGCTGCGTTTTCTGAAGTTTCCTCCAAATAGGAAGAAGGTAAGATTGGCAGGATGGCCACACACAATCATTATAGCCATTGTTTAAGAAGACTTGGAATATTTTCCTTGTGCATTCTAGTTGTGTAAATTGAAATATGACATAAACATTCAGTATAGAAAGTGGTAGGCTCGGGGCTGGGAAGGTGGCTCAGTGGTAGAGTGCTTGCCTTGCATGCATGAGGCCCTGGGTTCCATTCTTCAGCACCACATAAGCAGAAAAAGCCAGAAGTGGCACTGTGGCTCAAGTGGTAGAGCACTAGCCTTGACCTGAAGAGCTGAGGGACAGCGCCCAGGCCTAGAGTTCAGGCCCCATGACAGGAGAAAAAAAAAAAAAAGTGGTAGGCTCCCATTCCTGATATGACACCTGTGTGTCACCACATGTCACTCACTGGGTGTCACCATGGTTGATCTGCATGTGCTGAGCAGGATTTGCCCTTGCTCTGCCTTTGGATCCTGCTCAGAGGACTCAGTTTTGGTGAGGAACATAGGACCAGGTCTTGGCTTTGTTTTGCCAAGTTCCCCAGTTTCTGCTGCCTCAGTTTCTCCATCTGTGGAATTGTGTTTGTGAAAATAGTGTATGGCACTAGTAGAGGGTCTGTATTATGTTAAATGTCGCACTGGGCAAGGTCAGATAGATCATCAGGTTTATTTTGGCTGAGTTGTCCAAGTACAGTACCATGAACCACTGTGGACAACTGCTGCCTTGGTGGTGAACCTTCGGACCATCTACTAAAGCAGCGTTTTTCAGCGAGCATTTGCTCCATGTAGTATGTAGGTAGCACAGTGCAATAAAGCTGCTTGATCACAGGACTTGTGGTCATTCTCCTATTGGTCTTATGGGCTTTTTGTCAGAAGGTGTGACATAGCCATGCAGGGCCACCAAGCATATTCTAGGCTTTTCTGTCAGGCCGAGTTGTGATGAGATCCTGTTGTGGGAGCTGTAGCACATTTGCAATGCTTTGGTGTGCAGGAGGCACCGCTTGATACAAGTAATGATTTCCCTAGCGTTAAGGATGACTATTCAGTCCTGGGACCTTCCCAAATCCAGGCTGGGTGCGAGTACCTCTAGGTTTGCCCTGAAAAGGCCCCATGAGCTCAGGGCAAGCCCATTCTACCAATCAGCCTTTGTCACACTCGGGAGTCATCATCTTGGACCCTTCAAGCTTTTCACCTTTGGGATGTCTCATCTGGCTTGAGACTGGAGTACTGCTATGTATGTACTCTACCACCAAGCTATGTCTTTTTGCTATATTTGTGTGTCTGTCTGGGTGTGTGGGGTGTGTGTGTGTGTGTGTGTGTGTGTGTGTGCGCGTGCGCTGGTATTGTGGCTTGAACTCAGAACTTTTAACTTTCTCTTGGCTTTCTTGCTTATGACTTGTGTTCTACCACTTGAGCTATTCTTCCAGTTTGGCATTTTACTAGTTAACTGGAGATGGGAATCTCTCAGACTTTCCTGCTCAGACTGGGTTTCAACTGAGATCCTTGTTCTCAGACTCTTGAGTAGCCCGGATTATAGGTGTGAGCCACTGGTGCCTGGTTTAGGGTTTCACTTCCTGCTGTGTATACACCTGGACTGTGTATACACCTGGACTGTTATCTGCTGACTTTAGGGTTCCTATAGTTATACTTGAGTAGAGAGGCACACTATTATAATCTTAACTATGATGCTACTATGTCTAACTTCCCTTCATTGAGATAATCTTGTGGACTTTCCTACTCAGTCTGGCTTTGAGCTGACATCCTGCCATTTTCAGCTTCCCAAGCTAGCTAGGGAGGCTGCCTTTTTACCCTTTAAAAACATCTGATTGGGAAGAAAACACTATTCTATATTTAAAAGTAGACACTTAATTTTCCAGTCATCTGCTCAGTGGGTGTATTGGATGGCAGTGGTGCTCTTGGTGGTAGGAAGAGGGACACCAGAGGTTCATGCTGAGGGTATCTTGTGCTCGTCTCTTGCAGACCTCTGAAGAGATATTTCAGCACCTGCAAAACATTGTGGACTTTGGCAAAAATGTCATGAAGGAGTTCTTGGGGGAACACTGTGTTCACTGTGGGGTAAGTGATCTTTATTCAAATCTCAATTCATGGAAAGGTCGTATATTAACCATACCAGTGTCTCAGTTGTCATTGGAATTTCATGCTTAATGGTAACCCTTGAATAGTCAGAGTCTTCAGGTGCCTTGCTCTCTGTTGTGCCATCTAACGGTTGAGGACCATGAAGTTGGAGGGAACTCTGTCACTGTTATCCAGCTCTGCCCTAGGCTCCTGTTTGGTGAGACACTCAAGTGGGTATCCGGCCATCCTTGAGCCCAAAGGTACAGCTTAGCCTTCTGCTCCTAGAGTGCCTTCTTTGGGTTAGGGAACAAATTGGATCCTGCCCTAGAAGCTGCTACCCTTGTAGACAGGGGCACAACAGCATGAACATAGGCCAAGTCACTTGATTCATCCTGTGTAGTTGCCCAGTTAAATTATTTTTTTTTATTATTAAGATGATATCCAGAGAGGTTACCATTTTGCAAGTCAGGTAATGTTTTGAAAAATGTCACCTCTTCCCTCAATCTCTCCCAGTTTTCCCTTCCTGCCCCCACCCACAATTTGTATAGTTCATTTTCAATATAATGTCTAGTGAATACCTCTGCTTCATTTGTTCACCCTTTGTCTCTCCATTTCTCTGTCCCCCATACCTTCCAAAGATAGACAAATGAACAAACAGGACAAAAAAAAAATCCCCAAGAAACTAAAACACCAAAAGCAAAAACAAGACAATACCGTTTTCACCAGCAACAGAAGAAAAAACACAGGAAAAACAACCCTCATTTCCATTTCCTGGGATTCATTTCAATAAACATTATTTTACATGTTCATAGGCACAGAGGCATTGTGGCTTTAGGTTCCTTCCCTAAGAATATCCTCCTTTAGCCTCACTGTGTGTAAATACCTGGAGTCCTGTATAATTTATCATGTCCTCTTGTATTTTAGGTCTAGCTTCTGCATATGAAAGCATCCATTTCCCTGAAAATAACATATTCTTTCTTTCTTTTTTTTGGGTCCCGTCATGGGGCCTGAACTCTGGGCCTGGGTGCTGTCCCTCAGCTCTTCAGCTCAAGGCTTGAGCCACAGCACCACTTCCGGCTTTTTTCTTTTTGCTTATGTGGTGCTGAGGAATTGAACCCAGGACCTCATGCATGCAAGGCAAGTGCTCTGCCACTGAGCCACCTTCCCAGCCCCATAACATATTCTTTCTAAGGGCTGTGTAATATTTCATTGTGTATAAGTACCACATGTTTTTGATCCCTTTATCTATTGTAGGGCATTTGGGCTGTTTCCATATCTTGGCTATTGTGAATAGTGTGGCGATGAACATGGACGTGGCCATGTCTTTCTGGTATTCTGGTTCATGATGTTCAGGGTAGATGCTCCTGAGTATTATGGCTGGGTCATAGGGAAGATCTATGTTTAGTTATTTGAGGAACCCCCAGGCTGCTGTCCAGAGTGGTTGTACTAGTTTACATTCCCACCAACAGTGCAATAGGGTTCTTTTTTCTCCACATCCTCTCCAGCACTTTTTGAATTCACCATGTTGGCTAATCTAACTAGGGTGAGAGAGAATCTCAGAGTTGATTTGATTTGCTTTTCTTTCTTTCTTTTCTTGTCTTGTCTTTTTTTTGTGTGTGTATGTGTTGGTCATGGGCTTGAACTCTGGGCCTGGGCACTGTCCCTCAGCTCTTCAGCTCAAGGCTAGTGCTCTACCACTTGAGCCACAGCGCCACTTCTGGCTTTTTTCTTTTTGCTTATGTGGTGCTGAGGAATTGAACCCAGGGCCTCATGCATGCAAGGCAAGTGTTCTACCACTGAGCCACCTTCCCAACCCCAAAAAAGAAATAATCTTATAAATATGTTAGAAACAATCACATGAAAGAAAAAAAAAATTTGAATACATATCTTAGGGTTTATTTTCCTAACATCAACTCATATGACCTTTTCTGCTTGACTCAGACATATACTAGTTGTTACAAATAAGGGAAACCATGGGACCTATGTTTCTTTGGGCCTGGCTTACTTCACTTAATATAATTTTTTCCAAGTCTTTCCATTTCCTAACAAATGGGACAATGTCATTCTTTCTGATGGAGGCATAGAATTCCATTGTGTATATATACCACATTTTCTTGATTCATTTATCTACTGAGGGGCATCTGGGTTGTTTCCGTATCTTAGCTATGGTAAATAATGCTGCAGTAAACATAGTTGTGCTGGTAGCTTTAGTGTGGTCTTGTTTGTGATCATTTGGGTAAATGCCCAAAAGTGGGATTGCTGGGTCATAGGGGAGCTCTATGAGGAGTCTTGAGGAACCTCCATACTGCTTTCCAAAGTGGTTGAACAAGTGTACACTCCCACCAACAATGCAGTAGGGTTCCCTTCTGTCCACATCCCCTCCAGCATCTGTTGTTATTAGAGTTCTTTTTTTTTTTTTTTTTAATTATTCTTTTTGTAATCTTTTACTTTTTATTGTTATTATGAAGGATATATAGAGGGTTACAGCTACATAAGTCAGGTAATGAGTACATTTCTTTTTTTTTTTTTGCTTTTTGCTTATGTGGTGCTGAGGAATCGAACCCAGGGCCTCATGAATGCAAGGCAAGCACTCTACCACTGAGCCACCTTCCCAGCCCAATTATTAGAGTTCTTGATTATAGCCATTCTAACTGGGGTGAGGTGATATCTCAATGTTGTTTAGATTTGCATTTTTTTTTTTTTTTGGGTCCGGTCGTGGGGCCTGAACTCTGGGCCTGGGCGCTGTCACTCAGCTCTTCAGCTCAAGGCTTTTTCTACCACTTGAGCCACAGCGCCACTTCCGGCTTTTTTCTTTTTGCTTATGTGGTGCTGAGGAATCGGACCAGGGCCTCAGGCATGCAAGGCAAGCGCTCTACCACTGACCATTTTCCTAGCCCTGATTTGCATTTCTTTTTGTCCATTGTATGGCTAGTGAAGATCTTCTCCCAAGTATGGTCATTTTCACAATACTAATTCTACCTATCCATGAACATGGGAAATCTTTCCATTTCCTGATATTGTCTTTGATTTCTTTCTTCAAATTTTTATAGTTTTCATCATAAAGGTTTTCTTTGGTTATGTTTATTTCTCAATTTTTAATTTCTCAATTATAAATTTTGAAGCTATTGCAAATGGATTTGTTTCCCTGTTTCCCCTCTCTGCTTATTTATTGTTGGTATACAGAAAACCTACTGAGTTTTTGTGGGTTTCTTTATTTTTTTGGTTGTGGAGCTTTTGACCTCAAGGCCTGGGTGCTGTCCCTGAGTTTTTTCTGCTCAAGGCTAGTGCTCGATTTTGAGCCACAGCTCCACTTCCAGTTTTCTGGTAGTTAGAGATGACAGTCTCACAGATTTTCTTCCCCCAGCAGGCTTTGAACTGTGATTCTTAGATCCCAGCCTCCTGAGTATCTATGATTACAGGGATGAGCCATTGGTGCCCAGCTGCGTATTAATTTTGTATCCTACTTTGCCAAAGATCCACTGGTGCCCAGCTGGGGATTAATTTTGTTTCCTACTTTGCCAAAGTAATTGATCAGCTGTAGGAGCTTGGGGATAGAGTCTTCCAAGTCTTTTAGATATAAGATTATGTTGTTTGCTGCAAATAGGGATAGTTTCACTTCTTTCCCTATGTGAATCCCTTTTCTATTGTGCGCGTGTGTGCGCGCGTGTGTGTGTGTGTGCGCGCGCGCGTTTGTGCGTGTGTGTGTGTGTGTGTGTGTGTGTGTGTGTGTGTGTGTGTGTGTGTGTTGGTCCTGAGGCTTGAATGGAGGGCCTGAACCTGTCCCTGAGCTGCTTTTGCTGAAGGCGTGTGTGTGTGTGTGTGCGCGTGTGTGTGTGCGCGCACGTGCGTGCGTGCGTGCGTGCGTGCGTGCGTGCGTGCGTGCGTGTTGGTCCTGAGGCTTGAATGGAGGGCCTGAACCTGTCCCTGAGCTGCTTTTGCTGAAGGCTTGTGCTCTTCTACTTGAGCCACAACTCTACTTCTGGTCTTTTGGTAGTTTTTTTTTTTTTTTGAGATAGGAGTCTCATAGACTCTGGCTGGGTTGGCTTTGAACTGCAATTCTCACTTATCTGCCTCCTAAATAGCTAGGAATACAGGCATGAGCCACCAGCACCTGGCCCTTTTATGTCTTTTTCTTGCCTTATCATCTGGCTAGGAATTTTAGAATTATATTGAAGAGGAGTGGACTGGACATCCTTGCTTTGTTCCTGATTTCAGAGGAAATTGTTTTAGTTTTTCACCAGTTAATATATGTTGGCGGTTGGTCTGTTATATATAGCCTTTGTTATTTTGAGGTATCTTTCTTCTATTCCTAGCGTCTTTAGAACTGTTAACATGAACAGATGTTGTATATTATTGAAGGCTTTTTCTGCATCTATTACGATGATCATGTGTTTCTTGTGTTTAGCTCTGTTAATGTGATGTGTGTATATAAATATATATATATATTGTGTGTGTGTGTGTGTGTATATATATATATATATATATATATATATATGAGTGTATACATATGTTGATTTACATGTGTTAAACCTGCCTTGTATCTCTGGGATAAAACCCATTTGATCATAATGTATGATTTTTTTTTAATGAGTTGCTGAATTATGTATGCTAGTATTTTATTGATGAGCTTTACATCTATGTTCATCATACAGATTGGTCTATAGTTCTGTTTTTTCATTGGATTCCTACCTAGTTTTGGGATGAGTGTGATGCTGGCTTCATAAAATGAGTTTAGAGTTGATCTTTCCATTTCAATTTCAGGGAAAAGTTTGAGGAGTGCCGGTGTTAGTTCAACTATAAATCTCTTTCAGAATTCATCTGTGAATCTATCAGGATCTGGATTTTTCCTTGTTGGAAGACTCTTTATTACTTCCACAATCACATTGCGTGTTATAATTGCCCAATTTAGTTTTAAAAGCTAGTGAGGCTGGGAATGTTGCTTAGTAGTAGAGTGCTTGCCTAGCATGCATGAAGCCCTGGGTTCGATTCCTCAGTACCACATAAGCAGAAAAGCTGCAAATGGGGCTGTGGCTCAAGTGGTAGAGTGCTAGTCTTGAGCAGAAGAAGCTGAGGGCCAGTGCCCAGGCCCTGACTTCTAGCTCTAGGACTGGCAAGAACAACAACAATAACAACAAAAAACAAAAACAAAAAACTAGTGATCCAGTGACTCATTCCTGTAACCCTAGAAACTTCAGAGACTGAGATCTGCTGATTGTGATCCAAAGCCAGCTCTGGCATGAAAGTTTGTGAAACTCTATCCCCAGTTAACCAGTAAAAAGCCAGAAGAGGAATTGTATGGCTGAAGTGGTAGAGTGCTGCTAGTCTTGAACAAAAATGTTCAAGAACAGCTCCCAGTCCCTGAATTCAAGCCCCTAGACTGGCACCAAAAATGAGCTGGTATTGGAAGAAAAACCATGAAAACATGCTGCTGTCTATGCTGGCCTTGCTTGCAGTTTGTCTGTCTGATGACAGGACAAGGGGCACTCTCTGGCCCACCTATCTGACCTGGATTGCTTTCTGAGCAAAGCTGTGGCCTGGAACCTCCAAAAGTCACCTCAGTTTTGCCTTTTTATCAGCTGCTGCTGCTTGTGTGCTTAGTCTATTCTGTTGTCCAGGATGTGCCCCTTGGATGGTGTCTTCCTAGTGGAGAGAATATTTTCAGAGGTGCCATCTGCCCACTGGGCTGGGTGGGAATGTGTGTGGTCTTGTGGGTATCATATTCTTTTTTGAGCAGGATGTGAGCAGGTTGTTGTTGCCCAGGTTGAGGACTGGCAGTGGAGGTCTCAGTTGTGATGGTCAATGAAGTAGGCAGTGGGGACTTTTATCAGGGAGTGGCAGGATCAGGGATGTCTGGCAATACCTCTGGTACTTTCTGTCCCCCTTGTGTAAATGAAGTTGTAGTGACTGGGGCTTAGCCTGTAGGTCACCACCCTCTTGTGTGTCTCCTCTGTTTTGACATTACCAATAAACTAGAGCTGGATTTTTCTCAGGTGATCATGTCCTAGCTGGCTGCTCTCAGTGTGGGCCTGATTATGTCTCCCAGCCACTGTGTGACCCTGAGGCTGCATTGACAGGGCCATGTTGTGCAGCAAGCACAGATGTGTAGCTAGTTAGGTAAGGTAGAGTCCCTAAGGGCCTTTTATCCTGTGTGTCCTGGGTCAAGACACATCAGTTCCTGTGAGGAAGCCCACTGGTTCTGCCCTTGGAGGTGGTATGTCTGAGAGTTTGGATTCTCAATGGAGAATTTAGGGAACTCAATTGAAAAAAAAATTTGGTGCTGGCTGTGGGCTTGAACTCAGGGTCTAGGCACTCTACCTATGCTTTTTTGTTCAAGGCTAGTGTTCTACTTGATCCACAGGTCTACTTCAGCTTTTTTTGGTAGTTAATTGGAGATAAGAATCTCCTGCCTGGGCTGGCTTCAAACCATGAACCTTAGATCTCAGCCTCCTGAGTAGGAACACAGATGTGAGCCACTGACATCTGGCTAGGGAACTCTTTTAAGTATTGGAGGGGCATGGAATTTTACAAGCTCCCATCCTGCCTCTTGTGACTGGATCTACTTGAGTTTGAATGCTGTGTGGGATGTCATTAACTCCCCATTTGAACCTCATGTGCTGATAGGTAGGCTTGATGGGACTCACTCAACTGGAATTTCTGTAGCCTGTATCCTTCTGGGCAGCATCTTGTCATTCCTTTGAGAGTTACCATGTCTCAGCATCAGCTTTCTCCAGGAGGAACATTCTGTGGGTGTCAACTCTGGCTTTTTCCAGCAAATGCCTTGTATCATGTTGGTTGTCATATGCTCATGTGGTCAGGTGGATGGCAATGCCATCTAACCTAAAATGGCATGCCACCTGTGAACATTTTTATCTTGAATTGAAACGCACACATCCTCATTGTAAAATCAGTCCTTTGAAGTTATTTAGAGGAAACCCAGGTCTGCTCTTCACTGTGACTGTGGACTCAGGAGGGCAGTGGGCATAGCTTGTGTAGCCATGTGTGCCAGGATATAAGACCACTGCATTTCTTGGGTGGGAATATCCAAGCAGTTTTTTTCATCATCCCACCACACAGCATTGTGACCAGCATCTGTCCCTTTGGACTTTTGGTTTCAGTCAGAGCAAGAACTTGTGTGAGATAGACCAGGTTTTGAATTTCTAAACTTTCACATTTCTCTCTCTTGCCCATTAGTACTTTGAGTACCAAAGTACTAATACTAGGTGTGTATTTAAGTACCTAAGTGTTTAATACCTCATGTTTCCTTAGCTCATAGCATATTTAAGTAGACAGTGAAGGCACAGTATAGAACTAGAATAGCAGGATAGGGAGCAGAACCAGGGTGGACTAGAGCAAGCCAGGCCCAGATGGAGAAGGCTGCTCTTTCTCCCCCTGGCAAGATTCCAGTATTCTTGTGCTAGGTTTTCTGTGTCCCTTTGTGACTTTTCCAGAAGCCACAATTCTGCTACTCTAGAAACACAAAAGGACAGGAAGATGGTAAGTAAGCAATGTGACTTAAATCCTTTTTCTAGCCACACAGTTCTCCATGGCTGACTCACTGCCATCCTAGCCAAGATTGATTCTATCACACACAGAATTGCTGCTCAGGTGAAAGTGGGAAATGCTAAGTTTGTCTGAAGGGTCAGGGAGTCTTCCTTGTGGCCCAAGAACTGCCTTGGGCTCCTGCTGTGTTTCTACATTGAAAGCATCTCTGTTTAACCTTCACAAGCTCTGAAAATCGTAGATCAGCTTTTATTGCCAAAACCCACTCAATGAATTTTTTAAACTATCATTTTTAAAATTCTCATTAAGTGCAAGTAATGTGAAAGTCACCATTTTAGCTGTGGTTTGGTGCAGAATTTTGTGGCTATACCTGTAGTCTTGCTGTTGAGTAACCCATGCATTTTGTATTTTTTCTTAACAGGAAGTAGTTCAGCTGCCTTTAGAGTTTGTGAAACAGCTGTGTTTGAAGATACAGTCTGAAAGACCAGGTAAGACTGTCATAATTTAGGAATATTGTTTGTGATTTTAAAAGTTCTGTTCCAACATGTTTGAAATAACCACCCATGTGAGGTACTGATAGTTTTTAGCAGGTCTGTTGCCAAAAACTTCATTATCCACATACCTGCATCCTCTCAGCACCATGCTTCTGCTTTTTGCTGGTGGCTTTGTTAAGAACCAGGTCAAATGGTACAGGTTAGTGTCTGGGCTCTAATCATTATCTCTTCATGGTAGACAGAGGCCAGCTGTAGCTTCTTTCCTCAGCTGCTCATGTTCCTCTGTCTCTCTACTTCATTTTTTTGCTTGTATTGGGGCTTTATCTTAAGACTTTGTGTTGTCACTTGGCATTTTAGCTCATGGCTGGTGTTCTGTCACTTGAGCCATGCCTCCATCTCCAGCTTTTTGCTGGTTAATAGGAGCTAACTTCCTGACTTCTTTGCTTTGGTTGGCCTACATCCTCAGATCTCAGCCTCTTGAATAGCGAGGACTGATCATAGGCATGAGCCACCAGTACCTTATCTTACTTCATTTAAAAGCCCCGGTAACTAGTTAAAAGAATCCTTGCTATGTGAAAGGGAAGCCTGGAGCCCAGCATTGTTTGGTGGCATCCATATAGCTTCCAGCAGAGCCATGCTGCGGCACAGCAGAAGAGATGTATTAGGAAAGGCCTAGGATGAAGAGGAAGGAAGGGGCCAAAGCCTACCTCCTTCCTGAATTCCTGCCCTAAGGGAATTGTGGAATTTGGGGGCTATTTCAAAGTCTACTCACATATAATAGCTGTTGCTCATTTGAAAATTCCTCAAGACCATGCTCACATCTAGAAAGACTTCAGCTCTCACTGTGAGCCTTGGTTCTGGTTTTATTATGGCTGAAGGATAAGGATGAAACCAGGCAGGGGAAGAGGCACAGGGCAGGGTCCCCACCTACAGGGCTGTGTGGGCAGCACTTACTCTTCAAGTGACCATGTGTGATAGCCCAGAAGGCTCACTGAGCCTCAGAATCCCGGGCTTTTGCTGAGTTCAGGAGCATGATGAAGCTGACTTCCTGTCAAACAGATTCAGTCTTCAGTCCTCTAGAGATGACTGCATTTGTCACACAGCCCATAATAAGCTACTTTTCTTCTGTCATACATGTACCCAATAGCAATATAGTTCTCCTTAGACTTAGTGACTTCCCTGTATCCAGGCTGTCTTAGAATCCTTCCTTACAGGATTCTTTCTTCCAGTATCTGCAGAGTTTACTGTCCCTTGTACTGACTCAAGTATGATCCTTACTCTGTCTTGTAGAGTCTCGTTGTGACAAGGATCTGGATACACTCAGTGGTTATGCTATGTGCCTTCCCAACTTAACCAGACTTCAGACCTACCGCTTTGCAGAGCACCGGCCAATTCTGTGTGTTGAGATTAAGGTAAGCTTTCATGGAAAGACAGTGATGTCAGTAAAGGAAAAGGTCAGTCTGTATGGCATCTGCCTCGAGGACACATTCAGCTCTTTCTCAGGAACTTGCTTTTCTCCCCTACTACAGCCACTCACTGCATCCTGCATGCTCTAGTTCCTTTCAGCTCCAGACCCTAGGTGTATGCTTCTTCCTTGCTGCCTACAGTTGGAAACCCATTCTGTTTATCTGTGCTGGGAAATCCCTGCTTAATGTTCACAAGAGGGAAGTGTGTTGTTTCTCCCTCCATACCCTACTCAGGAATCAAACTTTTTCCCCAATGCATTTAGCGGCTTTGCTGTGCACAGTGCTTGTGGTGCTAAGGGTCCAATTCTAGGAATCTCTGTGAATGGACAACTCTGCATCTTGTGTAGGAGGGTCTGTCTTTCAAGCACAGAGGTCTGTATGCCCTTCAGAGGCCCTTCTATATGCTGGCTAGTGGTCAAGGATGGATTTTTTGTTTGGTGCAAGCAGTAGGAACTGCAGAAGGGCTAGGACTCCCTTGCTTCACCTGTTTGTATTGAGGGTGGCTGCTCAAGCACCCTTGGAAGCCTTTCCATATATCTGGCTGTTGCCTACCTTCTTCCCTACTGCTAGGGCAGTGACCTCTGGGCCATTGCCTTGGCTTGAGTAGTTACACCTTATGATCCTCAAGAGGATCATGTTCTGTTTCCCCAGCCACATGCTCCAATGTGCTGAGCACAGACCTTATGTGTTGCACTTCTCAGAGGGTGCCACTTTTAAAAGGCAGATGGATTCCCTGATGTTTTGGGAGCCTAGCAACTATCAGATTGGCACTTTCCAGGCCACATGCTAGTGTCAGTGGGCACAATGGTTCTGATTCTTATTGTTGGGTACCCTGGGCCCATCTCCATTCCCTCCAGTCTGCCAGAGGTGTTCTGTAGTGAAAGCACAAAGCTGAGCTTTGTTGTGCTTTCGTTTGGCCAGCCAGAGCCTTCATCAGTTTCCCAGTGGGAGGGCTGGCCAGCCTGGGTCCTCTAGAAACAGAGAGATGTGTAATGTGCTGAGGGAGCTGAAAATGAGAATAGCTTCTGGAGACATTTCTATCTGACCTTGCCTGTCTTTGTCAATTCTAGTGATGTGTATGTGGTTTCTCTCTAAACATTTTTTGTTATCTGTTTATATTGCAGCCAAAATGTGGTTTTATTCCTTTCTCCAGTAATGTTACCCATGAGATGAAGCATAAAGTGTGTCGCTACTGCATGCACCAGCACCTCAAGGTGAGCAGAGCCTATAGCTAGGCTGTTGGAGGGCAAAACACTGTGTGTCTTAGTCTAGGGTGAGACCACTCAGGTTTCAGAAGAATAAAAGAAAATGTGATTGTTTTTCTGTTGACTTTTCATTTTGTAAATGGGTCTTGGTCACTTAAAAAAAAATTAAGACCATGATTCATAGACCATTAAGATTGTTCTGTTTTAAGCTGAGTACTCGTGGCTTTATAGCTACCTAGGAAGCTGAGATCTGGAGACTGTGGTTCGAAGGCATCCTGGGCAGACAAGTTTGTGGGACTATCTCAAAATAAGCAGCAAAAAACAGGGCTGGAAATATGGCTCAAGTGGTAAAGTGCCAGCCAAAGAAGCAAGTCACTTTGTGTAGAGTTGTTATGTTATAGTTCATGAATATGAATATTCTCAAAGTATATTCATGTCATAACATATTGCATATTTCTTCCTTTTTAAGGCTGAATAATAATGGTCTGTCATATGAATATATTATGTTTTGTTTATCCATTTGCCTGTTGATGAACACTTAGATTATCTTTACCTTTGTCTATTGTGAACAGTGCTGCTGTAGAGATAGCAGCCTAAGTATTTTATACAACTGGAAGTAAAATTACGGAATCATAAAATCTGTTTTTAATTTTGAGGACTTTCTGTAGTCTTTTTCATTGTGGGTTGTCATTTTACATTTCCATCAATAGTGGACAGGGTACAAGGGTTCCAGTTTCCTCACAGCACAAGTAACATTTGTCATCTTTGTTTCTTGCCCTGTATCCCTGGCTGGCCTGATACCTACTATGTATTCTAGGCTTGCCTTGAACCATCAGTCCTTCTGCCTCACTGTCTGGAATGCTGGGATTACAAGGATGTACCACTATGTTTGGCCTTTCCTTTCTTTTCTTTTTACTTCTGGAGATTGAACCTAGCTTTCATGTTAGTCAAGATGTCACTACCACTAATCCTTTTGTTTATATCTTTTTTTTCAGATAGGGTCTGGACTGGTCTCAGACTCTTTAATCCTACCTCTGTTTCTGAATCACTAGGATTATAGATATGGGCTACCACATCTTTTCTGTAAAATTCTTTTAATAGTATACATCCTAATGGATATGAAGTGAGAAAGACAACTGATTTTTTTAAAATGTCCTACTATCTTACTGGGTATTTTCATTTGCTTGTATATATATTCACAAATAGTATACATACATATGTACATACATATGTAACATATAAGATACTGTATGTATCTTTTTTTTTTGTCGGTCATGGGGCCTGTACTCTGGGTCTGGGCACTGTCCCTCAGCTCTTTAGCTCAAGGCTAGTGCTCTACCACTTGAGCCACAGCACTACTTCTGCCTTTTTCTGCTTATGTGGTGCTGAGGAATGGAACCCAGTGCCTCATGCATGCAAGGCAAGCACTCTACCACTGAGCCACCTTCCCAGCCCCCTCAACTTTTTATCTATAAGCTTTAGATTAGCCTATTATTTGTCCCAACTATTACCTATCTTCTCAGAAAATCATGTGAAGTGGCACAATTATTTCTAAATATCTCTGACAAGTCCTCCTCCCTTCTCCCCCCACCCCCCCAGGGAAAAGGGCTCTATACTTAGTAAGCTCTGAATCAGGTTAGTAAAGACAAACATATAAGTGAAATTTTCCTGGAACCAAGACTCAAGCCAGATCTAATACTCTGGGATGGAAGCTTTGGAGATGGTCCTGTCCTGTTCATTTTGTGGCAGCTACCAAGTTACTGGTTTTTACTGTGATTATAACAATGATTTTCAGATTTAAAGGACAGAATAGGACTTTTAAGATGCCAAACACTGTTTCTGGGTATTACTAAAATCACCTTTGAGGATTGTTTGCTGTATGTTCTTTAAGGGTTTTTCAATGTGTATTTGAATGTATGCATGCATATATAAATATTTTTGTGTGTATGCATGCATTTATAAACCACATGCTATATGATACTCTGAATAAATCTTGATTTTTTTTTTTTTTTGCTCCACCTCTTTCTGGAAATGGCAGCCTATTATCTATTCATTTCTCCATTGTGTGCTGGCTCCATTGAGTAGTGTTTTTTCTTGCTGATGATTGTCTCTCTTGTTTCCACTGTTATTTATAATCTACAGTGAATATTTTGTCCCTGTTCATACCTTTTTTGCCCTGTGCTAATTTTATTTTCTTTTGTCGGTCGTGGGGCCTGAACTCTGGGCCTGGGCACTGTCCCTCAGCTCTTCAGCTCAAGGCTAGCACTCTACCACTGAGCCACCTTTTCAGCCCCCTGTGCTAGTTTTTTTAGATTCCTTGCAGCTTTATTTTTTATATGTTTTTTTTAATTGTAAAAATACAGTTACATGAGTAAGGTAATGAATACATTTCCTATCGAGCATTGTTACCTCTTCCTTTGTTTTTTTCCCTACCACCCCTTCTCTCCCTACCTCCCCAACTCCTCCCTCTCACCCCAAGTTGTAAAATTCGTTTTCAAGATAGTGTCTTTTCTTTTTTTTGCCCGTTGTGGGGCCTGAACTCTGGGCCTGGATGCTGTCCCTCAGCTCTTTAGCTCAAGGCTAGCACTCTACCACTCTGCCACTTGAGCCACAGTGCCACTTCTGGCTTTTTCTGCTTATGTGGTGCTGAGGAATTGAACCCAGGGCCTCATGCATGCAAGGCAAGCACTCTACCACTGAGCCACCTTCCCCAACCCTCAACATAGTGTCTTGTATATCTCATTGTTACAGTGGGTCAACCTATATCCTTATTTCAGCATTTTGTTATTTCCTTTCCCTTCCCCAAATTAAAAAAAAATGTATATACAAGATGCAGGGCACCAACATCAAATACAGTAAAAACAGGGGTTATACTGTGGGGGAAGAACATACAAGAGAAACAAAAAAATCACATAGTACATTTAAAATACATTAAAAACAATAGCAAGGAAGAAAAAAACCCACTTGTGTCCCTATCTTGGGGTTCATTCTATTTAACATCATCTTATATGGTCATATGTACGTAGCTTTGACCTTTTCTGCTTGTCTTAGACTTATACTAGTTATTGCAAATAAGGGAAACCGTGGGACCTGTGTTTCTTTGGGCCTGGCTTACTTCACTTAATATAATTTTTTCCAAGTCTTTACATTTCCTAACAAATGGGGCAATGTCATTCTTTCTGATGGAGGCATAGAATTCCATTGTATAAATATACCACATTTTCTTGATCCATTCATCTACTGAGGGGTATCTGGGTTGGTTCCGTATCTTAGCTATGGTAAATAATGCTAAGATAAACAGAGTTGTGCTGGTAGCTTTGGTGTGACCTTGTTTGTGATCATTTGGGTAAATGCCCAAAAGTGGGATTGCTGGGTCATAGGTGAGCACTATGTGGAGTCTTTTGAGGAACCTCCATACTACTTCCCAAAGTGGTTGAACAAGTTTACACTCCCACCAACAATGCAGTAGGGTTCCCCTTTGGCCACATCCCTCCAACAACTGTTATTAGGTTTCTTGATTAGAGCCATTCTAACTGGGGTGAGGTGGAATCTCAATGTTGTTTTGATTCCTTGCAGATTTATTGAGTCAGGGGACAGGTGTACTTTATAAGTTGTGCCAATTTATTATTCCGTTAGCAACACAAAATTACCTATACTACACCTTCTCCATTATTGACTAAATTGGAGGATTTTTTTTTCAGAATTTGGACATGTAATTTTCAGGTGCTAGTTGCTTTTCTTTTCTACTCATGTGCAGGACTAGGTCGGAGTGACGAGTCTCAAAAGTTGGTTAAGATTTTTGTTGATAAGGGTCAGATGGATCCCTTTCCACCAAGTTGAGCCAAAGCTGCAGTCCATTTTAATCATCTTGGTGTTATGCTGTTCTTTGTGTTAATGATGACACTGTGTTGGCATGAGTATCCAATCAGTAACATCTGATGTTGTCATAATTGTTTTTTAACAGGTAGCAACTGGGAAATGGAAGCAGATAAGTAAATACTGTCCCCTTGATCTCTACTCAGGGTAAGAGCCACTGTTTATTGGCCCTGTTGGAGTGGGGAGGTGCCCTGCTATCTGGCATCTTATGAGCTGGGGACTGTGGAGAAGAGGGAAAAGCTATTCTGTGAGGTGGGAACTTGGAGGAGTTCTGTGAAATGAGTGTGGGGTATTATGTGACATGGGGTAGACATGGGATTTTAAGGTATTACTTGTTCTCTGAGGTGGGCCTGGGGTCTCCACTCCATCTTCAGAGCTTTCCCTGCCCTCAGTGCCTGAGAAACCCTGGGCTTGAGGCTTTGTCTTTTTGCTCAAAAGCTTGAAGTAGCTGCTATTTTACTGATGTTCCTTTATTGGAGTTCTTACAGATTTGTCTTGCATCGGGGAACAGCTGATGCTGTCTTGACCTCATCCATTTGGACTGTCGTAATTTTGTCTTTTGTCCCTAGAAATTAAAAAAGACTGCTTCTCTGGCAGCAGTTTCTCTCTTTTTAAAAATTTTTTATTATGAAAATACCGTACAGAGGAGTTACAGTTACATGGGCAAGATAATGAGTGCATTTCTTATCAAGCATTGTAGCCTCCTCCCTTGTTTTCCTTTCCCATCCCTTTGCATATCCCACCCCCACCCACCCACCCATATATACCCGCCTCCACCCCCCCTGCCAAGGTTGTAAAGTTCATTTTTCGTAACGACTTGTACATCTCATTGTTGCAATGGGTCCACCTGTATCCCTATTTAAACGATTTAGCAGTTTCTCTCTTGATGACACACCTGTGGCCTCTTTTACCCATCTGGGTCTGCCCTTGCTTGGCCTTTGTTGTGCACCCAACATGCCTCAGTCTTGTACACAGTCTTGGTCCAGAGCATTTGTGGCTAGCAAGACAGAGGTGGCCAGGAGCTGGGGAGAGTCCATCAGCAGCAGGGGCTGTTAGTCTTCTTTCCCTGTGGTAAAGTGGGTGGGAGCTGGGAGAGGCTGGAGTGAGGCAGTGCCTGAGTGATACCTGTTTTTATGACAGTCCCTACCTGCCCCCACTCAGGTCACTCCTCCAGGAGTGAACCAGCCACAGGATGGTGCATGTTTGTGACCCTTTGATGTCCTTATTGATAAGTGGGCTCCTGTCCTTCCTAGCCTCCTTTCTTTGGACTCCAGTTAAAGTAGGGCTGTTTGCTGCTTCTGGTTTTCATACTTAACTTTGTTGGTTCTTCCTCTTCTCACCCTTCCTCCCTCTGCTACCTTTCTTAGTGTTCAGCACTGACTTTGGGAGCAGTGTGTGTATGCTCATCACTCAGGCCTTTGGGTTCAAGGCTGTGGCAAAACTTTCAGGGCAAAGACAGAGTTGTCTTTGGTAGTTAAAAAGTTAAAATCAAATGTTGAAGATCCACAAGCCAGAAAACAAACTATTGGTCTGTTTTCCAGAAAACAAACTATTGGTCTGTTTTCTTCATGTGGGATTGAGTGAGGCAGCAGTGTGTTCACTTGTAAATCACATGTTGATTTACCTGAGCAGACAAAGACTGTGAGTTCAGAAGTCATCAGTAATAAAGATCATTGTTAAACATTTATAACTTATCAGACCTGAGCTGGGATCCTCACCTGGAATGGTCAGAATCAGAGGGTTATGGGTACCACTAATTTGATGCATGCTGAGTTACCACCCTAGTGGTGGTTTCTAGGCAGAGCTCAGTGTTCTTGCCTTGGGTGAGTTTTCCCAAATGGGGGTCCTGAGGTTCCATGGAGAGAGAGATGCTGGAACATGATTAGGGAGAGTGATAGGGACATCTGTGCTAAGAAGAAGAGCAGGCGAGGACATGCTAATAGGCAGATGGCTGTGGATAGATGGTGAAATCAGGGTTACTTGTCTCCCTGTTCCCTGTACTTTGTCAGAGAACCTTCATGAGTCGCACGTGCCTGCCCCAGTTCTCGGAGCTGCAGTAGAGGAGCAAGGGGGTATAAAGCTGCAGACCCCTGTGGCTTCTTGCTCTCCTTGCCTCAGTGGAGTCTCCCACAGCTACCCATGCATAGGTTATAATGAAGAGAAAATGTCACTGAGCTATTTGGGCTCTGGGTTCCCTGTCTTAGCCTAGAGCCAGGTGTGGAAACCAAGATGATCCTCACTGCCTTTAAAGCCTGTGAACACTTTGTTCTTTTAGAAACAAACAGCGCATGCACTTTGCCTTGAAGAGTCTGCTACAGGAGGCACAGAACAACTTGAGGATATTTAAGGTGAGAGCTGCTTCTGTTTTGTTGCTGTCCTCAGGTCTACCTATTTTCTGATCCTGGTCATAAGCTCAGTGGCTGCAGAGAATGGAGCATCTGGCCAGGTTGCCTAAGGCTCAGTCCTGTGAGTCTGATGTAGCCTTGGGGTCTTCATACCCCTGCCAGCCACATAAACTTTCTAGTCTCAGGACTCCATCTTTATATCTCCAATCCCACAGGAGCCAAGTGGCCCAGATTGTTTGTGGTCTGTGGGTGGGTGAAGGCTCAGTTTCTGCTAGGTAGGCTCACTCTCCTCTGTGCTGACAGGCACACCCAGGATGAAGACAGCTTTGCCCTGTCCTGTGTGCTCCTCTGTCCCAAGCCCATGTGTCTGGGGGGGATAGAGGGGGGTGTTGGCCGACTGCCCAGTCTCTCTAAGCTGAGTGCCAACTGCCAGGCTCTGTGATGGCTGTCTTTACTCTTTATTTAGGGAGCTTGTGATTCAAGGAGCTCTTTGTTTATGAGCAAATTCTTTTTTTTTTTTTTTTTGTCGGTCATAGGGCCTGAACTCTGGGCCTGAGCAGTGTTCCTTAGCTCTTCAGCTTAAGGCTAGTGCCCTACCACTTGAGCCAAAGCGCCACTTCCAGCTTTTTCTGCTTATGTGGTGCTGAGGAATTGAACCCAGGGCCTCATGCATGCACTCTACCACTGAGCCACCTTCCCAGCCCCTATGAGCAAATTCTTAAGTCTAGGGTGTCAGGACGAGGAAATCTCCATCCAGTGTGACTGTTTTTAGTTCCTTGTCCCCATATGGGCTGGCGCTTTGGTCACCTGGCTGTTGCCTAAGTGATGTGGGGGTGAGAAAGAAGGGGTGAGACTGAGGAAGGTGGGCGCTGTGCCCATATTGGAAATGTGACCCTGTGACCTTGTAAGGTCCTGGCTACCTCTTGAGAGCTGTCCACGCAGTAGACCTGCTTAAAAAAGCAGGGTTGGGGTGGCTTTCCTAACCCCTCTGTTTGGTCTGGGAAAGGTGACTGGTGAGCTGGAAGCCCTGCTTGTCTTGCTGCTGTGGCCAGTGCTCTTCCAAGTAAATGGGACACAGTCTAGTGTGAATAGGGAGCCATTCCCCTTATCTAACTCAGAAATTCTGCCTTGGTGGCTGATCGGAATAACTGACTGCCTCTGCCTTTCCAAATTCACTAAAGGAAGACATAATTTCAAAAGTAGTTTTAAACTTTTTAAAGACTTGAGGAATTTGGCATTTAAATCAAGTTCCAGGTGAGCCTACTACACTCTGATCCTGGCCACAGGCTGGTGGCCACACAGAAAGTAACATCTGTTCTGAGCTGCCCTCAGACCAGGCCCTACAAGTCTGATGTCTTCGGGACCAATCTAGAAGATAAGCACTTCCTATGAAGTCTGTAGTGTGTGGCTGGTTTCTGACCCCAATTAGACTCACACTCCAGGTTCCTGGGCCCAGCATCCTCTTGTTCTGTGCTTCTGGGGAAGTCATCAGTGGAAAAACCCAGGATTAGCCAATAGTTTCCAAAGAGATGGATGGAGAGAAGTGATAAGGATTGGCTTTTTAGAATAGTAGGATAATAATATAGTGCATTCCCTGTGGCAAGCACATTTAGCGCTCATGTGCGTCTCATGCTTTTGCCGTGCTTGAGTTCTGCAGCCCAACCCAGTAAAGCAGGACCTTCCCTCCCTCCTCCCTCCCTGTGAAGAAACTAACTGGGTGTGGTCAGTGACCCTGTATCGGACACTTGTGATGAGAGGCATTGTTGAGGCCTTGAGGGATGTGGATGCTTAAACTTCTGGATCTCTGGTGCTGGGGGTGGAGGCCCTTCTGTTGGGAGTCCTTCTGCTACCTTGGGGTCTGGATGAGGGGGAAGCTTCACTGTGGGTACATATGGTCCTGCTCTGGGCCTCAGCTGGCCTCTTTGGGTCCTGCGTTTGTCTGCCTTCCTTTGTCTCCTTCCCAGCTTGACCAGCAGTGACGTAGCATGTCCCTGTCATCCCATGGACGTGGACAGTATCCCTTGAGAGGCATCCCATGATCCAGTGAGGGAAGAGTCTGCCATACAAAAGTCTGGCAAAGATTGGCCTCTCTCCATGTACTACTAACTCTAGACCTTAGCTTCACACACTTCCTATTGCCTCAGCATTGCAGAGGTCAGGAGTGCAGGAGAAGCTTAGTTGCTTCTGTCTCAAGGTCTCATCTGAAAGCTTAGCTGGGCTGATGGCCTCAGTTCCCGCATTATGGGAGGACTGGGTTGCTCCATTACCACTGTGACTGAGGAAAGAGTACTGAGGAAAGAGTGGCCGAGATGGAAGCTATAAATATCTTTGTGTAATAGCTTTGCAGGCTCATATGACCAGCCTTGTGACTGTCCACAGTACACATCACTCTTATGGACAAAAACAAGGATTTAAGGGCCTTGTCATACTCCTTGGGTTAGCTGTGTGAGCTTGGGAACAAGCCCCAAATAAGCCCGAGTAAGGCCCAGTAAGCCCTCTATAAAAGCCCAGTTGTGGGGGGGGCGGGGCTAGGCAGCAGACGTCCCTAGCTGGTGTGCTAAAAGGAGCTCCTGTGAAGTAGCAGGGTGGTCTTGAACAGGAAGGTTCCACAGCTGCCCCCATCATGGCTCTAGCCTTTGTCCTGGGTCTTGCCTTGCTTGACTCCCAGTCACTGGTTGGGCCCTTAAGTAACTGAGCTGTGTCTTGGAGACTTTGTTGCTTTGTGCTGAGGGTTTGCTTCAGACACACTGTGTGATTGATTATCTGAGCTGTGGCTGTGAGACCAGTGTGCAGGTCTCAGGTTTTTGAACATTTCAGGCTCCATAGGACTTGCCTCTTGATTGATGACATGGCACATGAGAGTGGTTTTCCCAGAGGTGCCAGAGTGTACATTGGCCCTGATGAGGCTTGTCCAGAACATGTCTACCTGCCCACCCTAGCAGGGGCTGAGGTGTTCTCTACCAGCTTGTAAGATCCATCTTTCTCTCTTTCTTGCCTAAAGAACGGTGAGCTGATTTACGGTTGTAGTGATGCCCGGAGCCCTGTGGCTGACTGGAGGGAACTTGCACACCACTTGAAGCCCTTCTTCTTCCCCTCCAATGGCCTGACCAGCGGGCCCCACTGCACAAGGGCCGTGATCCGGGAGCTGGTGCATGTCATCACAAGGGTGCTGCTGAGTGGCTCGGACAAGTCCCGAGTGGGTGCCCTGAGATCTGGGCTCCAGGGCCCACGAGTCTGTGAAGCCAGCCCTTTCAGCAGGAGCCTGTGCCGTCAAGGTAGGGCCCAGCCTTCCCTGAGTGGGGGGTAGGGACTGTGGCAGCTTTAGGACTGTCTTTTTCAACTGGCAGCTGGGTTGGAGCCTAGGAAGAGACCTGTTGTAGCCCTAACTGGCTTTGCCGTACCTCCAGGGGTGCTGCCTGGTTTCATCAGAGCTCCCCAGAGTGAAGCCTCATTGCCTCACACTGAGTTAGAGACTCGCTTTCTCACTTTGTAGCTAGGTTTGTAAATGCCTGGCCTGTTTGGGCTGCAGGATTTTTCCAGGACTGTTGTGCATATGTGTGTGAATCTCTGCCATTTAGAGCAGTATCCTCTTGTTTGTTCTCATCATAACTGGAGGCAGGTTCTCCTCGGCCTTATTGGGTAAAAACTGAGACCAGGAGTCCTTCGAAGCTAGATTGTCATAAGGTGAAAGTAGATTCATAGGGCCTGTGGGTCCTACTTGCCTTCCTCACAAGATGAGGTACCAGATTAGCCCCACCACTGCCATATGTCCTAATGGCTCATTAGGATGTGGGGCACCACAGAAACCCTTGAGTTTGAAAGTGGCTCATGATCATAGAAATCCTCCAGGTTTTGTCTTCATGGCTGTCCTCCAGGCTGAACTGTTCTTACTACAGGTGAATTTGGTGGCTTGTTTTTTTTTCTTGTGACAAAAGGTATTGTGTCAGAGATTTTTGTTAAAGCTAAACCCATAACCTGGGCACATAGCTGCAGAATGTGTCTAGAAAGACCTTCCTGATGCCTATTTAAAAGCAAGCATAGCCCATGGTTATACAATATTTAAAATAGTACGATCACCCTCATATACTGTTAATAACCGGTGTGTTTTCCTTAAGTAACATAAATCTATCAGCAAATGCGGTTTTTTTTTTTCCTCCACCTTTTATTTACTGTGTGGTAGGTATTCACTGCATGGGGGTCCTGTAACTTTTGGCACATGCCCTCATTAGGTGAGTTTGCTTTACATTTTTCTGCCTCCTGCATGGCTAAGCACATTCTGCCAGGGTGCCTGAGTGCAGGCCTACAGTAGCCTGCAGATGGCTGCAGCTGTTCCCTGCATGATGTTCCCTATTCTGATTTTGTGTGTAGTTGCTCCATTTCTAGAGATGATTGCTCCAAGGGCAGACATGGTCCAGGATGTGGCCTCTCACAGCTCAGGTGGCTTTCATACATAGCAGCTTTGTCATCCTGTTTTATTATGGTTTTGTTTTTGGTGCTTTCTTCTTCTTCAGAATATCATTACAAATCGATGGGCCTTATGACAAAGCGTTTTACCAGAAGCTGCTTGATCTGTCTACTGAGGATGGCAGGTCCGTGGCCTTCGCATTAACAATCTGTCTCTGAGAATGGGTCCTTGTTGGTGGCTTTGACAGTGGTCAAAGCTGTTCTAAGCTTGTCTTGCAGCAGTTAGGGCTTGCCTTTCTTAGCATGGGCTCATGGCTCAACTCTGGAGGCAGTCCTAGTTGTCTTTGTTTTGGCTTTAGAGATTTGAGGCTGTCAGTCTGATCTTCTGTAGTTCTGGGCTTTGTCTTATTTAGAATGAAGATATGTCTAAACTTGATTATAAAGTGTTTTCCGGGGCTTGTGGAGTTGAAGGGATGTTGTAAGAAGAGAGATCTGGTTGGAGATCACAGAAAAGAGTGAGATGCTTGAGTTCCTCACCTCTCTTGTATTCATGGCCTGGTGTGTCCAGGGCTTCTGAGTGTATTCCAACCCCACAGCTCTGAGACGGACACAGTGTTTGCCGTCAGCACCTAGTCCTCGCCTGAGTCACCGGGCAGGCAGTCCCAGATGAGCCTTCTGGTCTGTGCCAGCTTATGTCTACCCTCCCACCCGCGTCTTCAGTCTTTGATAATAAACCTGCTCTCCTTTTCCCCTGATGTTCTTGGTAGGAAAAAACGCCCCAGAGCGCTCGGGGTTACCGAAGGGCTGTCTTCTGTACAAAACCCTCCAGGTGCAGATGTTGGACCAGCTGGACATCGAAGGACTCTACCCTCTGTACAACCGGGTTGAGCAGTACCTGGAGGAGTTTCCTGAGCAGAGGTGAGCTGGTGTTAGTGGAGGCCAGCATGAGGGAGACTTGAGGATGGGCTGGGGCCCAAGTTGCTCCAATTCCAGAACAGAACAAGAGCCCCTGCACTTGGCAACAGAAGGTTTATGCACATCACCTCTTTCCGTGTCCTAGCTCCAAGACCCAGCTGTAAATGCAGTGCCTGGGGGCCCTGGAGTCTGAGATTTGTGATCATCTACTCATTTGTAGAAGAAAATGTCTGGGAACCAAATTCCAAAAATCTTCAGTCCAGGCCAGCCTGTAGAGGGCAGTGTTGTCGCATCTCTGCCCCATGCACACTGGTGTAGCTGCTTTCATCTTCCCTGTCATCTGAGCCTCTGGCCCTAGGCCTGCACTAGGTGCCTCTGGGACATACACCTCTGCAGTTTCAAGGGCCTGGATCCTCTTTCTTATTATTGGGCTGTGTTCCTGTTTCTTCATTGAACAGCAGAAGACTCGACCTGCATGCTCCATGTGCCCCAGTCTTGCTGGATTCTGTTTAAGGCTTTGATGCTGCGGATAACGAAGATAATAGGAGGGAACAGTAAATCTATTAGGTGCCCTTTGGATCTTGGGTTTAAAGTCTGCCTAGGCTACATATTGAGACCCTGTTTCAGAAAAAAGCAACTAAAAGCTGTTGTGATTTAGATCAAGTTAGCATCTTAAACCAGGCAGCTTTGTCATCCTGTTTTATTATGGTTTTGTATTTGGTGCTTTCTTCTTCAGAAAATCATTACAAATAGATGGGCCTTATGACAAAGCATTTTACCAGAAGCTGCTTGATCTGTCCACTGAGGATGACGGGTCCGTGGCCTTCGCATTAACAAAGGTGAGCAGAGTGGGACTTGGTGCTCTGTTGGTTCTTGGCCCTTACTCAGGCCTTCCCTGCTCCTACCCCTGATGGTGACAGAAGAAAACTTGAGGATCTAAGAGACCAGAGGTCTCAGTTCTCCCTAGATGGGCTGGGGTAGGTAGGGTTTATATAATGTCCAAGGAGGGTTTCCCTTGACCCATATAGGTAGGAAGTGCCCATCTGCATGAGGAGAATTCAGCTGCTTGGGACCCTAGCCCTGTGTGGCCAATCTGCATCCTTCTCAGAAGCTTTAGAATGGGCATAGTTGGCCTTCTCCTTGAGGCTCTGGCCAAGGGTCTGGGTCCTACTGCTGTCTGTGTGTTGGCTGCCTGCTTCCTCAGACCTGAGGTCATAGTTTGGCCCAGACAAGGGACCATTGGACCCTGTCCTTTCCACTTCTGTGAACATTGGGAAATTCAGGGTTCCATGTATATAGGTAGGAAGAAACTTACATCCTATTATCATTGACTTCCACCTGAAATTGAGTGTTTTCTTTCATGGTGAGGGTGGTACCACTCTGGGATGGGCAGGACCTATGCTGCCTCCTCCTACCACATTTGCAAACATCTCAGGATGTGCTGATGGTCAGTGCTGCCTGAGGTGTTAGTGAGTGTTTTTATGGAATCTATTTCTTTTTAACAATACGTTGGTATTTTATATTGTCGCACTCTGTTTTGTTGTATGCCTTTTTAAAATGTTACACACTTTATTAGGCCACAGAGGTTTTGCAAAACATTAAAACAGTGAAGAAGCGTTGTTCTCAGGGAATGAGGTGCCTCCCCTCTCAACTGCCCGTGGTGGTCCTGCGTCTTGTCTGTCCTAGTAGCTGTCTGTCCTTCCCTCTGGTGAAAGAACCCTAATGTTGCTAGTGGTTTGAGGGCCGAGAGGCCTTGTGGAGCCTGAGATATACTTCAGAGGCCCAGACTGCATGGTAGGTAGGATGTGGTGCAGCGTGGCACTTTCTCAGGCTCCAGAAATCCACAGTGTAACCTCTGGGTCAGGGTACAGCAGAGGAGGCTTCCTTGTAGTATCTGTAACTTGGTTACAGTGACTTAGGAAAAAAAGGTAGCTTTTCTTTTTCTACAACAGAGGAAATAGGACTTCAGTTCCTTTATATATATTTTAGTATTGTGTGTGTGTGTGTGTAAGTATCCTGCTTTGTTTTTTTAATTTTTAAATTATTTTTGTGTTCATGTGATACCAAGGAATTGAACCCAGGGCCTCATGAATGCTAGGCAAGCACTGTACCACTAAGCCACATTCCTTGCATCTATGTTTTTCGATATTTTTAAATCTAGATAAACATGGATTATTTTTAAGTTTCATTTCAATTTTGAAACCTCATAGGTAAAAGTGTAATTTCAGACTAAAGCAAGTCATCACACAGCTATCTAAAACTAACTGGTGGCGGGCTCTGGGGGCTCATGTCTGTAATCCTAGCTACCCACATGATAGATAGCTAGAGGTACCAAGACAGCAGGGTCCTGAGCCCTGAGATAGTTTCATAACCAACTTCTTCACATTCAACTACTCAACCCATGTCCTTAAAGGAGAAAAAGAGCAAGCCCTCTCCCTTCCCTTCCCCTCCCCCTCTCCCTTCCCCATTCTCTTTCTTTTCTCCTCTGCTCCCCTCCTCTTCCCTCCCCTCCCCTCCCTCCCTTCCTCCTTCCTTCCCCTTCTCCTGCCCTCCCTTCCTCCTTCCTTCCCCCTCCCCTTCCCCTCCCCTCCCTTCCCTTCCCCTCTCCTCCCCTTCCCTTTTCTTTTCTTTTCTGCTGGTAGTAGGGCTTGAACTAGGGTTTGAGCACTGTTCCTGAGCTTTTCTGCTCAAAGTAAGTACTCTGTCACTTGAGCCACAGCTCCATTTCCAGCATTTTCGCAAGCTAATTTAAGATTAGAGTCTCATGGGCTTTCTTGCCTGGCCTGGCCTTGAACCATGATCCTCAGATCTCCGCTTCCTGAGTTGTTAGGATCAAGGTGTAAGCCACCAGAATCTGGCTCTTTAGTTGCATTTTAAATAGAATAAAGTCTCACATTTTTGCTAGGGCTGCTGTAGTTCCTGATCCTCCATTTTTTGCCTTTGGTGAAACTGGGATGTTAGGAGCATACTGCCACACTTGGCTATTAGTTGGGGAGAAGGTATAGTTTTACTATTTTTTTTTGCCTGAGTTGGCCTTGAACCTCAGTTCCCCTGATGTTCTACTCCCAAATAGCTACAGTTATATGAACTACTATGCCTGACCCTCCCCTCTCCTCCCATTCCTTTCCTCCCCTACCCTCTCTCTCCTTTCCCTCTCCTCACCCTTTGCTCTCTTTGCTCACTTGCTCTCTTTCTTCCTTCCTTTCAACTGATGCTTGAGCTCAGGGCCTTGTGCTTGCTAGGCAAGAGCTCTACAACTTGAGCCATGTCCCCAGTCCCTTTTTAATCTGGAATAGATATATTGAGATTTATTTGACATTCCATACATGATCAACTATCTATAAAAGATTTATTAAGATTTTATTTCCATGACATACAATTAACTCCAAGTGTACAAGTTCATTTTTTTTTTACTGTATTTACAGATATGTGCAACTTTCCCCACATGCAATTTTAGGAGATGTGATTGCTTCAGCAAAAAAAACCCAAAAACATAGCTGGGCTAGACATGATGGCTGGAGCCATCATCCCTCTCTACTTGGGAGGCCCAAGTAGGTGGATTGCATCCGATGCTGCATGGGCAAAAAATACAAAACTTTATCTGGAATAATAACTAAAAAAGAGTAAGGGAATGGCTCTTGTGGCAAAGCACCTCTCTGACAAGTACAAGGCCCAAAGTTCAAACCTCCTTACTGCCAAGTAAACAAAACAATAACTGAAAACAACTAACCAGCTCATACTCTTTAGTTATCATTCCATTTTGTCTCCATTTCCCTCAGCCCTAAGTAACTGCTGGTCTACTATCTATCTCTAAAAGAGACTTGTTGACTCCAAGTTTTGCTTATGAATAGGATATTCAATATGGAGTATTTTTGTCTGGCTAGACTAAGGCTTTCAAATTTCACTGATAAGATTTGGAGCATATATCAGCACTTTCTCCCCCCTTTTATTGGCTCAGTATCCCATTTATAGACTTAAACATATATTATTCTTCCATCAGTTGATAGATCTTTGGGTTAGGTTTTCATTTTCTTTGGCTGTTATGATTGGTGGTGTTCTACAGTGTGTGTGTGTGTGTGTGTGTGTATGTATATACATGTATACATATTGCTCCAATGATAATGTTATGGTTTGTTGTTGGTTTTTTTTGAGTCAGAGTTTCACACGTTGCCCAAGCTAGTTTCAAACTTAGATTTCTCTTGCCTCAGCCTCTTAAGTAGCTGGGACTGTAGGCATACAGTACTACATTCAATTCAAAAATTCACATTTTGTCCTTTAGTATTAGAACATTTTTGATTTCTTTTAGCAACTCTTAACTGCTGGTTGGGGTTGGAATCTTTCTTTGTATATTATTCAGTAGTTTATATGTTAGGAGGTAGCTCATTTCACCAAAGTTGTCTGATTTGTCTATAATTATGTTAGTTTTCTTCCTGAAGAATATCTTTTGGAAGTTACTTTTTTCCCAGAACAAGTTTTGTTTCCCCCCCGCCCCCCCCAGATATAGAAAAGGAGTTGATTCCCCCCTTCTTTCCCGCTTATGAAATTTAAACGTTCTGTACATCTTGTTGAGAGCCCCTGTTAAAGCATCTATGCCCAGAGGGTGATGGAACTGTCTTTTTTTTGTCTGACTGCTATTAGACTTATCATTTGATGTTCAGTTCAGTGTAATTAGTTGTCTTGTTCTTATTCATTTTGTTTATGTTGTACTTTTTCTACTTGTAGATTTGTGGCTTTTGTTCTGGAAAATTCTCTAATATTTTTTCTTGTACATTATTGTGTTTTCTTTTTTCTTTTTTTGTCGGTCATGGGCCTGGGTGCTGTCCCTCAGCTCTTCAGTTCAAAGTGAGCGCTCTACCACTTGAGTCACAGTGCCATTTCCAGTTTTCTGGTTTATTGGAGATAAGAGTTTCAGGGACTTTCCTGCCCAGGTAGGCCTTGAACCGTGATCCTCAGATCTCAGCCTCCTGAGTAGCTAGGATTACAGGCGTGAGCCACTGGCACCCAGCCACTATTTTCTTTAGTGTAGCAGACTATTTTCTCTTCCACATTTTAACTGCCCTTTCATATTTTTCCTCTTGGTGTTACATTGGCAGTTTTGTTTTTCTGCTCAGTTTTCCAGTTTACTACTTCCTTCTTTAGCTGTGTCTAATCTGCTGCTTCACTGGTTCCTTTTTTCCTTCAGTGGTTACATTTTTAAGTTTAATTCCTGAAAGTTCTGTGTGGTTCATTTTCACATTACTTTGGTATTTTTGGTAGCTTCTTGTTACTTATCCCTGTTAACATCTTTTATGTCTTTAAGCAGTTTATGTATAGTTATTCTATATGTGACTTAGATAAAATAAAAACTGGGAAGTAAACCAGGTGTCAATGGCTCATGTCTTTAAATCCTGGCCACTCAAGGAAGCTGGTTGTGAGTGAAAAAGCTGAATATGGGGCCCTGAGTTCAAGTCCTAGCACTGGTAGAAAAAAAATTTTTTTAAATGTGAAATGAAAAAAATACCATTTTGGCCAACTCACGTATGTTGCTTTTTTTTTTTTTTTTTTGTCGGTCATGGGGCTTGAACTCTGGGCCTGGGCGCTGTCTCTGCACTCTTCAGCTCAAGGTGAGCGCTCTACTGCTTGAGCCACAGCGCCACTTCAGTTTTCTAGTGGTTTACTAGAGATAAGAGTCTCACAGACTTTCCTGCCCCGGCTGGCTTTGAACCAAGATCCTCAGATCTTAGCCTCCTGAGTAGCTACGATTACTGGCGTGAGCCACCGGCGTCTATGTTGCTTTGATTGGGTGTTTGGTGCTTTGTGGTTGTGAGCTCATATTTTCATCATCTGAGGGAATTCTTGA